TCGCATCAGTTGGGGGTGCCTCTTGCCTGTTTCTTGGTCTGTGCTTATTGCCGGGCCTATGGGGCTGGCTTTGGCTGACTCTGCCTACTCTTTCCTGGCTTGGTTAGACTTCGGTACGACTGGGCTAGATGGTGTGGCTGGTGCCGATCCCTTCTGGTGCTGTTGCTGCCTCCTTTGTGGCTCCCGGCTGTGGCTGGTGGGCCCTCCTCGGCTACAAGGTGCTGGGGGTTGGGGCTCTGTTGGTGTGGCCAAGACCAGTAGCTGCCTGATAGGGCTAGGTATAAGCTGTCCTGTGACTATCAGATGGTTGATCTGTCTGCAGGGCTGGGAGGCTGGATGGACTCTGTGGAGTCTGGAGTGTTGGGCTTGGGGAGGGCGGATTGGTGGGAGAGAGGCACCTGCAAGCACAGGTCGGGCCTGCGTCAGATTGGGCGAGGTCTAATTAAGTGTTTCCGGCCTGGTTTGGGCTGTTGAGCGAAGCTGATGAGTCCTGCAAAGCTTCTCCATGGACTGATAGGTTGATGGACACCTGTGCGGATAGTGGGTTGCGACTACCTGGTTGGACATGTTTAGGTCTTATGAGTTGGGCTTTTGTGGGGTTTGTTTGGTTTCTTTGGTTTGGCTACGGATTTGGCAGGAGGAGGCATGGCACCATGGGTGGGAGACAGGCTCCACTGACCTGTTCGGTCAGTCACCACTTTTATGTATTTCTTATGTTTGTATTATTTTGTTTGGGGGACAGTGTGCGGGTAGAGGTCTTCCTCACCGGTACGCTCTATGTAAGTAACTGGCAAAGTGGGTTCATGGGGTCGATGGCCTGGCATGCGGGTTCAAGAGGTTGACATGTTGATTTCCTCCTCCCTGCCATTGTATCGCCTTTAGGTTGAGTTTAGATTTTGTTGGTTTTCCATTGTAGTGGAGGTTTCGCGGGATGGTTTTCTGACCGGGTGGTAGTGTTTTTATATTTATTGGATGAGGAACCTGGTCGGGTCGGTCTTTTACTCAGCTTTGGCTACGCTTAGTGCTGGTTGGCTTCATACCAGAGAGGCTACAGACTTGGAATTGGAAGGGTGCTGGGTTGTTTGATGGTTTTTTAATTAGTTCTCGTACGGGAATGACTCAGAGATGGTAGGTGCAGGACCATAGACTTAGTTAGCTTAGAATTAGTGGTATACTGGTTAGCGGTATTCCTGTGCCGGTAGGGACTCATCGTATGCCAGTGTAGGCGGTATCAGCTTAAATAAAATTAGATTGAATTCTAAGTACTTTTCCTCCTTATTACCTTAACGAATATAAAACACCATTACAATCTTTAACTTTATTGCCATATTTATCATTACGTAAAGGAAAGCTGTTCATGGAGAAGAGTTAGAGAAAGCTTATGATACGTGTTCCCGATAGAAGTCCAAGGTCTTCTACTATTGGTAACGTAGGCAGAGACCTAGTACTATCATAAGATGAAGAAAGAAGAAGAAGGAGAAGAGAAGTATCGTTCGCCGTCACCAAGAACTAACCATCCGAACAGAGATCATTACATTACAAAGCGTCACCTAGTGCGACGCTAAAGGATACAAGACGGCATCCTTCAATCCAGAAAGGGAAGGGGATATCGATATTGACGATTAAAACCTTAACCTAGGGGGATTTAGCGATGCCCTAAATCACATATCGGATGAGCCCTTGAGGGCAGCAAGCTCAGTAACCTCAGAGAAAGGATCACCAGTTGATAGCTCTCCTGCAGGAACCGCACCACCTGAGAGAATGTCGGGATCAGCAGTACCTGTGCCAGAGGCCCTGGCCACTCTGGCACTAGGCACTAGCATACTTGGAATGACTGAAAATCAGTTTCAGGAATTTCTAGCAGCAACACGAAACACAGGACAAGGAAATATCCAGCGACCGAAAGTGAAAGAACCTGACACGTATGAAGGAGGCAAGGATAAGCTATAAATATTCCTGGCACAATGTGACGGGTATTTTGCGGTTAAGGGATATGGAGAACACCACGATAAGATCAAGATTCCCTATGTGAAATCACTACAAAGAGGACTCGTGGGACTATAGATCATGTCCTGCCAAGATGCAAGGAAACAGAGGGAATTAGTCATGAACGAGGAATTCAAGGTGACACTCTTCGAACAATTCAGGGATCCCAATACTAAGGAGAAAGTAAGATGAAAGCTGGAAAAACTCCAACTAGGAAAACAGACCTTTTCGGCATACTGGAACGAATACCGACTATTGGAATATGAGGCAGAGTTTGATGATGCTACTCTCTACATCATCCTCCTAAGAAACTGTAGTGAGTGACTCCAAGAAGTATGGGGAATCACCGACTTACATTACACAAGAGCAGAATGATTTGCAAGATGGGCGATTGATAAGGAAAGCAAACTAAACATGGTTCAAAACAACACGGAAAATACAGTAGCACACAGGATGGCCCAATCATTCAGAAATGTGGATAGAACCTTTAAACTGCAGGCATCTGGAGGTGAAAGCAGAGCATTACCACCAGGAGAATCAATGGAGTTGGACAAATCAAGGGCAGGACCTGCTCTGAATCTGTTGAAGAAAGAATATGCTAGAAGAATGAATAGAAAACTCTGCTTGAGGTGCGGAAAAGCAGGATATCGGATACGAGAATGCAGAAGCCGACCAGACGGTGGATACCAGACAACCGGGGCTGCAGGAAACAATCACTTCCAATCTCAAAAGAGAAGCAAAATTCATGGAATGATTGCAGAAGATTCATCGGCGAAAAATGACGAGGGTCCCCAGTAAACGGTGGTCTGGAAGACCCAAGATAAGGACCTGAAAAACCTATCAAATTAGAGAACTAATATAAAGCACTACACATGCAAAGGGGAGAAGAAGACAGGGATCATGTGATGATCAAGACGAAGATACACAATGAAAGACAGGAAGAAATAACCACATATGCAATGCTTGACTCTGGGGCTACTGAAGATTTCATCGACAAGGAAATCTGCAACAAATATGGCCTCCACACCAAGAAAGCGAAGAAAGCATGACTAGTCTACCTAGTAGATGGAAAGCCAAGCGCAGTGGACTCCATAACCTATACAGTGAAAGTACCTATGAACATTGACAGTTATAGGGAAACGGCAACCTTCCAGGTAGCAAATCTCAAGAACCCTGAGATAGTCCTAGGGATGCCATGATTACCAATACATAACCTGACGATAGACTGGAATGAGAACAAGTTGACCTACACAAGTGAACATTGTGCAACACAATATCTCAACAGTTTGCCTGTGGTCTATTCGACACCGGTACGAGAAGCAGAAGAAGAAACATTGCCTGCAAAGTTGGCCGAGATGTGGCAAGATAAGAGAGTCTGGATACAAAAACTGGACTAATAGGCAAATGTGCCTACCAAGGGTTCCAAAGGGGCAGCAGGACATGACCTGTATGCTAACGAAGGAATCAAGATACCTGCCAATGGGCTGACAACGATAGCTACAGGAATAGCCATTGGACTACCAGAAACTACCTATGGACGGATAGCATCCATAAGTGGTCTAGCATCAAACATCGACTCATAACAATGGTGGGGGTAATCTATGCCGACAATACAGGTGAGATTAAAGTGGCCTTGGCCAATCTGGCCCAAGAAAACATTGAAATCCAGAAAGGCGATCGAATCGTACAGTTAATTATTGAAAAAATCAACAAAGAAGATTTTCATGAAGTAGATCAACTGGAAGAAACCACAAGAAGAGACAAGGAATTTGGAATCACAGACCAGAACCAGCCCCATACAACAAAAAAAATAGAGATCAAAGAGATCACAGCACAAGCTTTTGGACGGTATTATTGAAGAGGCGATACAACAGGAATTCTCAAATGGACATACGAAGATGAGAAAGTGGTTCTAGTAAAGATCAACATCAGCATGGAACTAGCAATCCAAGACAAGAAATACCAAAGAAAAAAAGGATGGAAAGAATTGATTCCAAAGGAATATCTTCGATTCACGAATCTATTTCAAGAGGAAGAAGCTACGAGGCTACCACCTCAAAGACCAGGAATTGACCATGAAATTCAACTGAACAAAGGCGAGAAAATGGGAAAAATGAAAGAGATTTCCTACAACAAGCTATACCGACTAGGAGAAGCAGAGCTCGAAGAACTTAGAAAGTACATTGAGCAAAACCTAAAGCAAGGATGGATCAGAGACTCCTTTGCCTCAAGAGGATCTCTAATACTATTTGTTAAAAAGAAAGATGGAAAAAGTGAGGCTCTGTGTAGACTACAGAGCCCTAAATTTGGTTACCAAGAAAGATCAATATCAACTACCCTTAATAGGAGAGGCACTGGATAGACTATGATTAGCAAAATACTTCACCAAACTCGACATTAAGGATGCATACCACAATATGCATATCAAAGCAGGAGACAAAGGGAAGACTACATTCGCCTCAAGATACGGGTTGTTCAAATACTTGGTTATGCCTTTCGGGCTAGCCAGTGCACTAGCTTCGTTCCAGGGGTGGATCAACAAGGTACTCAATAAGTACCTCGACATATATTGCATTGTAGACTTAGATGATGTACTCATCTACTTGGAAAACATGCAACAACATCAGAAGGATGTCAGCAATATTATGGCTATGATATAAGGATCAGGAATGAAGATCAAACCAATGAAATGCGAATTCTATAAAGAGGAAACTGAATACCTCGGATTTATTATCAATCGGGGTGGGGTCAAGGTTGACTCATTCAAAACAGAGGCAATATGGGATTGAGCAAAACCAAACAACAAAACAGATGTTCAATGCATTATGGGATTCTGAAACTTTTATCTAAGGTTCATAGAAGGGTTTAGCAGGCTTGCAAAACCACTCTATACACTAACCAAGAAAGACAAGAAATGGGAATGGGGAGAAACAGAACAAAAAGTATATGATGCCATTCGGACACATCTGACATCAGCACCAATACTGGTACACTTCAACCCAAACTGAAGGACAATGATTGAAACGGATCCCTCGAAATATGTGTATTCAGGTATACTATCATAACAATGCGAAGACGGAAAGTAGAGGCCAGTGTCTGATTGATCCAAGACAATGACCCCCGCAGAGTACAACTACGACATTGCAAACAAAGAACTATTACCAATAGTTCAAGCATTAAAGAAATGGAGGAGATAAATTCTGAACAACGACCATCCAGTCCAAGTTCTAACCGACCATATGAATCTAGTCCAGTTCATGAGTACTAAGAATTTGAACAACTACCAGATAAGGTGGATGGAACACCTAAGCAAATACAACTTCAAAATCGAATACTGACCAGGCAAAGAGAGCAGGAAGCCAAATGCTCTCACAAGAATTGCAAGTGACAAACTACAAGTAAAAGAAGACAAAAGGATCAAACAAAAAAGATGAACACTATTACGAAAATCCTACTTCGAGGCAATAGAGGTTATTCAATTCACATCAAGTGAAGGAAAGGAAATTGAGAAGGCAAATGAAGGAGACAAAACAATTCAAGCAATAAGAGAAGCATTGAAGGAAGGAAAAAAGATGAAAGGAATTGCTCTAAGTTTATGCCAATGGGAGGATGGAAACATGTGGTACGACCAAAAACAATGGATTCTGGAAAAAGAAAAGATAAGAACAGACATCATCCGACAACACCATAATATCTGAATGGCAGGACATGGAGGAACGGCTAAAATCACAGAATTCATCACGAGATCATTCTAGAGGCCAAGACTGCGTGAAGACATCAAAAAATATGTCAAGAATTGCGACATATGCTAAAGTACGAAAACGTCTAAACCAGCACCATACAGATTACTGAAATTGAACGAAGTACCTGAATGACCATTAGAAACAATTACTATGGATTTCATCATGGACCTACTGTTATCGGAGAAATGCGATAGTATCCTAGTCGTGGTGGATCGTCTAACCAAAATAAGTCATTTTATTCTAGTCAGAAAAGATATGGACACGACAGACTTTATACAAACATTCCTCCAAGAAGTCTTCCAACTTCACTGCCTCCCAAAGAATATCATTACTGACCGAGAAACATTGTTCACATCAGGACTGTGGAAAAAAGTAGGCGGAGAAATGGGAATACAAAACAGTCTGAGCACAGCATTTCACCCACAGACTGATGGACAAATGGAATAGGTAAACGTAATACTCAAACAATATTTACGCGCCTATGTCAATTACCAACAAGATGATTAGTACAAGCTGCTATCAATAGCCGAATTCACATACAACAATTGTAAAAAAGAAACAATTGGCACAACATACTTCTTCGCGAATTACGGACAACATCTACAAAGTCAGGCCACATATCATACGATTAATGGTATAATACCAGATAAAACAAACATGGGAAAACTACAGGAGATATTACGATACGAGATGGGTCAAGTACAATAACGGCAAAAAGAACAATATGATAGACACCGAAGACCGGATCCAAACATACAACTGGGAGATATGGTATGGCTAATATCACGCAATATCCATATAATAAGACTATTAAAGAAATTGGACTACAAGAAAATTGTACCATTCAAAATACTGGAAAGAGTGGGCAACCGAGCTTATAAACTCGACCTTCCCTCCTTAATGTGAATATATAACACATTCCACATCTTACTCCTCGAATTACACAATGACCTTAAGTTTCCATAACAAACAATTATTTCTCCCCCTCCAATTGAACTCAATGGAGAACCAGAATATGAACTCAACGAGATAGTCGATTCTCGCTTGACCTATGGAAATCTACAATACCGAGCCCAGTGGACTGATTATTAACCAGAACACGATAAAACTTGGTACTTTGCATACAACTTCGAACACATACAAGATGCCATCTCAACCTTCCAGCAGCGATACCCAGGCAATCCTGGCCCAAGTAATGATCACATTCAACCAAGGCAAAAGTGCGGGAAAGGCGCTCGCGCCATTGCAACCACATAAGAGCTAGGGCGATAGCCCCCACCAAACAACACCAACCAGCCCCGAATACTCATTCATGGGGCTGACTGATGAAGAACTCAGGGAAAGGAAAAGATAAGCACAGCATAATGCCATGTCATAGACAGTATGCTACAATAATGGATATCCTACACACTATGGGAATAAGGAAGGCTCGGGGTAGTTCCCAAGAGAATATAAAAAGTATGGTCTGCACCTGGACCATGCCCTAAAGCACTGGAAATAGTACTTCAACAACATGTGCAAGATGCACAGGATGAAGAAAATCACTGCGAGATACTACCCACAGAAGGATGGAACAAAGAAAGAGTTGGATGGAAAGGATGCCATGATATGGCAGAGGGCTAGGGCTACGAGGATGAGGCCCAGGGAGGGGAGACCCCAAAATTCAGCTAGGGAAATGGAACCGGATACCAGAAGCCTGTACAGGCAAATCTGAGGACTTAGAGAACAACTGGGCCAAGCTGAGACCACAATTTCGGCAAACGATAAAATGAGCATGGAGCTGAGGCAGCTGAATGATGCCCAGCAGCGCACGATTGAGATGGAAAACCTCACCTTAGAAGCGGTGAGGATAAGCTGGCAGGAAGCAGATAACAAGCTCAATAAGTTCCGGAGGTCCACGCATTTAGCCGCATGGGAACTATTGAAACTGGGGAATAAAGCCTAATGGGACTCAGGCTTAGGAGGAGAGGAGCTAATGTCACGAAGGTGGCTTGGCATGGAAAAGGTTTTTACATGGCTCATGATTATGAGTCATAGGTATGTTATTGTTTCATGCATATGACTCATTTAGGTCATATGACTTATTATGTTATGATTTGTTATATTTCGCACATGACTTGATGATGAGTCATAGGACATGTGCCTGGTGAGTATGCCTTGTGAGTGAGCCTTGCAGGTATACCTTGTGCATCTAATTTATGGTTTACACATGACCTCATTATGAGGTCCTAGGTTTCACGCATATGACTCTGTTAAGTCCTATGACTTGTTTATTGCGTTATGATTGGTTTATGAGTTTTCGCACATGACCTTGCTATGAGGTCATGGGTTTTGAGTGTGTGACCACTTTGGTCACATGACTAGTTTGTTATGATTTGGTTTTGCACATGTGACCACTTTGGGTTACATGATTATGGGTAGGAAGAACACTATATAAGGAGGCCGGTGCGGCCGAGGAGGATAGGTTCTTCACACTTTATTCTAAGTATTTTTCCTCCTTCTTTTATCCTGTGTCGGTAGTGAAGGTTCAGTGTCGATCCAATCAGAGCCCTTGATTTCTATCTCATGATAGGCTTCAAGTCTTTAACTTTGAACACCTTGGGAGGACTTCATTGTTATACCTCCTTCTTCATTTGCTGGAAGTCTTTTCTTCCTTCTACTTATCCTTTTGGTTGTTCACTATAGTCACCAGTTACAGTTGCAATGGCTAAGTAAGCCTCTGCCCCCTCTGCCACGTCCACTCTACGTTCGTTGGTCATTCTGTCTCGTACGGTTGAGAAGAACTTCGCCCTAGAGGCCAAAGTCTCTCGCCTTCGGCATCACATCTCTCTTCTTTCTCAGCGATTTTATCATGCTGAGAAAGAGATCTCTGCATTATTGGCTGCCCTTGAGAATCAACGTGCTATTAGTCATGCTTATCTCACGATGTTGGCGGCTGAAGTTCCTACAGTTATTCCCTCTTTGCCTGTCCCCTCGGTCACTTCGGTTACTATGGTAGTCTCGGTTGTGGGGGGTGGGCTAGACTCTGTGAAATCTCAGGGTGCAGTTGAGGAGCTCCCTTGGGAAAATGTTGCGTTGCCGGTTATCTGGGCCCCTCCTGCAGCTCTGGTTGTGGGCCGTGGTGTTGGTGGACCAGTTCCTGATTTGTTGGAGCTGGTTGAGGCGCTTGCTCCTGGTGTGGGTAGGGTGGATTCTTGTGTGGTAATACCGACTACCGTGGTATCACCCCCTTCAAAGGGGCAGGTGCCTCAGTCCTCTGTGGCTGAGCCTGTGGCTAGTCGGGGTAACGCTTCTGGTGGCGTCCCTCCTGTGGCGGTGGGTCGTGATGAGGGTGGCCTGTTCACTCCTGTTACTAGACCTCTACCTGGTTGTGGGAAGAGGAAGAAAAACAAGAAGTGATGGGTGAAACAAGACCAGACTTCACCTGTGCCACTTGTCCCCGACTCGGAAGGGTCATCGCCTTCGCCAGTTCTCTACCACTAACCGGCTACTAAAGAGTCTGCGACGGGTTTGCCGCCAGCGGAGTGAGCTGAGGAGTTGGAGGATGAGTTGAATACTTGGGTATGTTCGGTCAAGTGCTAGCTGCTTGGGGACTGTCTTGTTCTGGCTACTTCCATTCAGGATTTTGGACTACGCTGCCGGAGTGGTACACCCCAGATTCTCTACGACGGTTCGTACCCTCTTAGCTAGGGAGCCTTCACCCTGTAACTCAGCTTTCCCTCAGGTTTCTGCACTTGGGCTTTTGGGTGTTTCTTTTGTTTGGGTATGGGGACAGGTGCTTGGGAGGTAGGCCAGGTATCCGGGAATCATTGAGTGGGGGCACTCGGATGGGCTTCTACTGTGGAGGAGGTTTTTGCAAGGTCATATTTAGGTGGCGGTAGTGGAACTTTTGTATTTTGTATGGGTTACTTGGCTGGCGGGTAGGCTGGGCTGAGGAGGATTTTCTTAACCGAGGATGGCTTTATATTTAGTGTTCGTATTGGGGCATGGCATGGACATATTTGAGGTACGGGGTTCGAGGTTTAGTTAGTTCGTAGTTAGTGGTATCAGGCATGTGACAGCGTGGGGGTCCAGCCCCAGGGCTCATCATATGCCAGTGTTGGTGGTACGAGTTTAAATAAAATTAAATTGAATTCTCAGTACTTTTCCTCCTTCTTTCACCCCGTATCTGTGGTGAAGGTTCGGTGTCGATCCAATCAGAGCCCTGGATTTCTATCTCACGATAGGCTTCAAGTCTTTAACTTTGAATACCTTTTGGGGACTTCATTGTTACACCTCCTCGTATGTTTACTGGAAGT